TATAATTTGAGGAAATTAGATGCAATATTGTGATTAATGCTGAAAATTCCATTCTGTATCACAAGTACTGTTTTTGGAATAAAGTAAATCATTATTATTATTATTATTATTATTATTATTATTATTATTATATCTAAACTCGAAGACTTACAGGCGTAAACTAACAAGTCGGTAGAAAAGGGAAACAGTGAAGGCAGGACTTCAGGTTAATATTAGAGAGGATGACGGTGATGAAGATAACCAACCAATAACGACAAGGACCAACCATTAACAAAGAAAGAAATTTCAAAGAAGTGGCTTCTTTCACTTATCTGGGAAGCACCGCCGTTTCAACTAAAGACATCAGGATGGATGGGGATGTCAAAACCAGAATCTTAAAAGGTAAGTCACACCTTCATCACTCTGAAATCAGTTTGGAAATCTGCTGCTCCACTCAGCACAAAAAACAAATTTCGGATTTTCAACATCAATGTTGCTTCAGCTAGTTCTTCTATATGGGTCAGAAACTTGGCGAGTGCGTCACCAAAAGCATTTCGAACAGAACACTGAAGACTTTTATCAATAGCTGTATACTCAAGATCAGATGGCCAGACAGGGAAAATTAGCAAAAAGAAACTTTGGGAGCGAACTAATTGCGAACCTATCGCTCAACGTATATACAGGAGATAATGGAGACGGATCGAACACACGCTAGGAAGACTGTTGAGTGACTTCACGCAACAGGCGAACTCTCAAATGGGACTCGAACGGGAAACGGTGAGTTTGCGATGAGTCCGAGAGTGACATGGAGGAGAATGTGTAAAGACGAAGTAAGACCTTAAGGGAAATCGTGAGGCCAGCTAAAAAGAACTAAAAAGAACAGTCTGAAATGGAGATGGCCTGTTGAATCCCTATGTTCCACTTGGAACCCAAAGGAATAGTAATAATATTATCATTACTAGTTGATCACGGATTGATATCAGTTAGAAAACCATTGAAAACCAGGAGGTACTGGACAGCTGCTGTTTCATTCTAATTTGGGAATCATCGTCAGTACGCACGCACCACCATGGTTCGAACCAAGGACCTTCCGGTTACAAGGAAAGCTGGCTCGTATACGATTCAGACACTGGGACCCGATTCAATGGCCACCACATGAATTCTCACTTCTACCCATTCGTGATTTAATGCGACCCCAACCATTGTCGTTGGTGGGACATCCACCTTCACACGTGACATCTGGATAGACTTCACTGGTCACAACTTCTCACTAGAACTCCAGGAAACTCCATCCTGTAGCAAGTCACTGGAGAGCATCAGATTAATTTTCTATAGTTTGGTTTGTAAGGGTTAATTTTGTTTTTTACGAGTTGATCACGGATTGATATTAGTTAGAGAACTATTGGAAACCAGGGAGTACTAGGCAGCTGCTGTTTTATCCTAGTTTTGGGAATCATCGGCAGTACGCACCCATCACACGAGTTTTGAACCCAGGACCTTCCGTGATCAACTCGTAAAAATCAAAAATCAACCCTTACAAATCAAACTATAGAAAATTATCATTACTACTATTATAAAATCAATTCATAAAGAAAAACGAAAAGAACATAATAATATGTACAGAATGAAAGTAGAGAGCTTTTTTGAGAGGTGTTAAGTAAATTGGCGCTAGGTCAGCTACCTAATCAGCAGATCACTTAAAGAAAAGACCATTGACCTAATCTCAAAGTATCTAGGTCACACACACACACACACACACAATAACACTAATTATCGCTATAATCACAACTCGAAAACCTATTTTATCGATTCCTGATCTATTGTATGTGCACGCAATTGGTGTCAAAATATGTTTACTGATACTTTTTTTTCATGCACAAATTCACACCTAATCGAGTTGGATTACAAAAATGCAACTTAAAATTTGGTAGGATAACAATGACTTGCATTAAACCCAGTGGTATATATGAGTAAAGAGGAGCATGCATACAATTTCATGTCTAAAATTGGATATTCTATCGACCCTTGTTTATTATAATCGGTGAGACCTACTTCGTTAACAGTGGATGGAATTGGAAAGATATCGAATTATGGAAAGGTCAAAGAAGAACACCAGTCCCAAACTACAAAGAAATAGTTATTCAATGCTCTGTGGTAGACAACAGCCCCCCACCCCCTCTAAGAGATTTTAACTTGTATTCGGACGTATCTACTCGTTGACCTTGTGTTAAATAGTCAAAGTTAACAAGGACCACGTGTTCAGGAGGAAGAGATGTAGGTCATTGACTAAGGCACTTGAGTTGCAACTAATGGACCCCGGGTTCGAACCCAGGAGCTCCACTTATTTCAGTATGAGCAACTGAGCAGCATCATCAGATCTTACACAGTAAATATGGTTTATAACTTGATGATAATACGAAAAATCTATTTCTGACAGCTATTTTCTAACTACAGTGAGAAAACATTACATGAACACAAAGCATAATAAGTGTTTATGCATACAACAGAATATTATTACAATTCCAAATGCAAATACATTAATTCTTTTAGCCTGTATCTACAGTGTTATAGAGGTTTGTAAAAAAAAAAATACAACGTGTAGGCATTCTGATCAACAGTTGCTTTCTGTAGCTCCATACTGAAGGTTAAATGATCGATCAGAAAGGAAAAGCGATAGGGAAATCTAGGAAAGAACCAATCAAGAACCCAATTGTCCAACAAATACGCTGAATACAGTGAAGATGGATCGGGTACACGCAGAGAAGACTATCAAGTGACCTTGTTTAACTAATAATTCATGTGGATCTTCAGCACAAGCAGGAACTCAGTTGTTCAACTGTTACACATATGAAAAAAGACAAACATATAATTTAAATTTTTCCCTTCAAAAGGGTCAGTCAAATATATTGATGTAAGAAAGATAAGAGGCGAATCTATGGAAAACAAACCAGTTAGTTCCCATTTAGAAAAAAAATGAAATAATAGAATGTGATTTATCTGAAGTGTATAATATATATAATGACGCAACAATACACTTTGAACATTCTGATGACACATCTAAGTAAAAAGCTATCAAATGATAAAAAGGTCAAATCTTGAATCGATAAAGGTGTTGGATGGTCAGTTTGAGAGTTGAAGTCAAAGGTGAAGAGGACAGATTACCAAATGAAGAAATGAGTAAATTATTAGGCGAGGTTTATAATGCGAGAAAACAGTGATATGTCATGATAACAGGGGGGCCACAATGTTAAGATAAAGGAGATGTTCATCCAAGGAATCAGTGGGGCACCGCTATATCACGAGTTGATATTGCTTGAGTTCAAGGTCACTGAATTCCAGCCCAAGTGAGTAAAAACCCAAGCACCATGAGACACTGTACTTTTATCATATATTGTCATGACATTACATGCGCCACAAAGACTGGGAAGTCTTTAGAACATTTATGACATACAAACAAAAGCCGTGCCATATCTCATTAACATATGAACCCAATACACTTCTACATACTTCAGATATCAATACAAAAAGTCTGGGCGGACCTTTCAAATCTTTAGACTCGAAATAAAAATAGGGAAAAACATATATTATTTCACTAACAACGATAATAACAATAACTAACGACGGCAAAGAAGTTCTGAAATAAGGCTTCCTACCTACTGGTACTGAATCACTTAGCATTCAAAAGTTAGATAAACTGTAGCGTCTCCGGTGACAGTAGGAAACAAGAAGAATTCTTTTCTCAAGAACAGATAATTCAGGCATCTACACAGAAGAAGATAAGCTATAGGACCCCAACCAAACGAGTGCATCATGGACATACCAATTGCGTTAAAAAGGATAATTTGGGTGATAAAAAGGAAAATAGGGTTACGCAATAATAACCAGCTCTGTTCAACAAGAAACTCCGATAACGAACAAATCAAGAACCCATTGCCCAACAAATATGCAGAAGGGAATGAAGGGAAGATCGTTGGGTAACACCGCACGCCAGGCTATTCCTCGAGTGGTAAACGATGATTTGAGCATGTAACTGACGGTGACATAGAAGAAATTGTGTGAAAGAAAACAGGTGAGAGCTTATGGGAAATCGTGTGGTCAGCTGAAAAGAACTAAAGAGAACAGGACGAAATGGAAATGTTCTATTGAAGGTGTATTTTCCACTCAAAAACCAAGTGAATCAGTTCTCAGGATTTCATCATGAGCTGACATTAGTTAGAGAACCATTGGAAAACCTGGGAGTACTGGACAGCTGTTTCCCGCGTCCTAGCTTGGGACTCTTCAGCAGTACGCACACTTCCGGTTACAAGGCGAGCTCGCATACCATTAAGCCACTGGGACCCGATCCAATGGTCCTTGAATTCTAACTTCTGCCAATTCACGACATAGTGCGACAGCTAGCTAATGTCTTCGACGAGTATTTGTCCTCACACCTCTGAATCGGTTCTCTCCAAGACTTATAGATAAGATTTCATCCGGAAAACGCCAAAACCCTAAGTCTAACTCCCAACCAAAAACAATAATCAGTTACATGAAAACCCACACTCATGTGGATATTTCGGAAGTCTTTAAGAGTTGATTTGAGCCATATAGGGAAGTGTAGACTGCCTGGTTGGGGACTTCAGGATGTTTGGAATCAATGACTGCAGACTATTGGTGATATCTCTCAAAATCCCCGTTCCCAATGGCACAGGCGCGCATTCACTCTTTCTATTCTCCCAGGTAGTTAAATTCTCGTTTTTTTCCATGTTAATATTACTTCTCACGTACCTAACTTTCTGCTCACTATGACTATTTTTTTAAAATCTCATTTTTCGCTCTTTCCATCACCTTTATGTTAAACATGAAGTGTGTGTGTGTGTGTGTGTGTGTGTGTGAGTGCACCTTTGTGCAAAGTTCCATAGTGAAATTCAATCAATCAATGAGTGGTATAGTTTAAATTCTCTCCTGAACAAGACAAAAACTAAAATAACACAGAAATACGATTTTTACAATCCAAAAAACAAAAAAGTCAACAAACTCACCTCTTCAATATCGCATAAACTCTTTAAATAAACTGATTCACTATCGATTAATTCATTGATAACACATCGTAGTTGTTTTAAGCATGGTTTAATGTTGGCTTCAAAGACATCGTTAGAAATATGCTCAAAATCCAATAGGTAATTATTATTATCATTATTGCTCAATATACTCATATAGTCATTGTGTTGACCACCATTCTGATTATTTACATTCACTTTAATTCCATTCATTGAAATGTATTCAAGATCAAAAAAAATATGTACTATCGGTATTCAGCAGTGATGATAAGATGATGGCATCATATGGAGGAATATTCACTTTAACATGGTTCAGTTCAGTGAAAGACTGCTTTGATGTATATACCTGGAAAAAGAAACAAGAACAAACGAAGGAATCAAGAATTAATATCCTATGTAATTCTTCTTATTTATTTTATTCCTTTATGGTAGAACACAGAGCCTCAAACTTGAGGCCTTGAAGTTTCAGTAGCAGTGGTGTTTGCCTGTCTTAACGGAATGGGATTGCTAGCCTTACACCCAACCTTCCCCTTTACCAGGATTACTATGGGGTTAAAGACGGTTTAGGAATCTGTCTGTTTTCGACATAGAACTTTGCACCGATATGCACCAGTTCAAGTCGCCATATTCCCTTCTTGTAGCACACAAAGAAAGAGATGAAAGTAGGAGAAATGCATACTAGAGACAGCAAACAGAGGTGTGAGACAAAGGAATAGTAATAATGAAGAACAAAACAGTTTCATTGAAAATCATACGTCACAAGGAGTGGATGCATCTGCGATAGCCATTGAGAACGATTTTCAGCCATGTCAACAATTCTTTCCAACCATTGGTTTTTACCGTCCCGAGGACCTCAACCCGGAGGTCTACACCTTCCTATGTGGCTGGCTTAAACTAACTGTTGCAGATTTCATTGACTGATGGGGCCATGTTTTCGTTTGACCGCCGCTAGCTTATTTCCAGCCTGACCCTATGTCAACCAGCTAACATTGCCCGTCAGTCGAGGAAGGCAATGGATCACTAGGCATGCATGCGTAACAGATGTCCTAACCATCTCAGTCGATGTAATTTCACAGACTCGTCGATTGATTTCCCCTCCTTACCTAAAAACTCGACTGAGGCCTAACCCCAACATTGCTCACCTTATTATACCACTTCACACGGGTGATAGAATGCAGTGGTGGCCAAACAAAAACATGGCATCAATCCATGAAATCATTGACAGTTAAACTGAGTCAGGTAGGGAGATGCAGACTCCCGGGTTGGGGCCCTCGGGACTCTAGGAATCAATGGCTGGAGACAATAGGTGACATGGCTCAAAATCGTTGTCAATGGCGCAGATGTATTCAATCTCTGTAATCTTTCATATTCCTTTCTACCATTACCCATCCTGTTTCACTCCTATATTTGTCAAACTCTATTAATTCTCTCCACTCATCTTCTTGTCTACCTCTGTGTGCTATTTGGAACGTGGCAACTCGAACTGCTGCACTTCGGTGCCAAGTTCTATGTTGAATCCAGACAGACAGATAGAATGCAGGCACCTGTGATCAAAGACAGCTAATCTTTTCATGTCTTCCACTCTCAATGGCCAGGCCTCGCTCACAGCCATAAAGGAGGACGGAGCGGACTGATGAGCAGTACACCCACCCTTTCGTCGATAGTCGGATATCACGTCTACGCCACAGGCGGCGTAAACTGGCATATGGGAAACTAGCCCTCTGTATCCGTGGTAAGATATCGTCAGAGATCAACCCGTTGGCACTGGCTGACGGTACTTCCCGAATAAGTGAAGTGGTCAACGTGCTCTACCACTTCACTTCCTATTTCTAATCTAGGAGTCGGTGTAGTCAAGCCCTGTAACATCATCTTGCATTTGGTTTAGGAGTGCACAAGCGAGGTAACGAACCCCGGACCACGTGAGGCATGGCTGCGCTGAACCACGAACTCGACATCGTGGGTATGTAACTATTCCAGAACCAATCAAAATATCACAACAGCTGATGATTAAGCAGATCGTTTAACACTGTCTGAAGCAAAATCTTGAAAAAAGACCTATGGTTGACTAGACTATAGTACTAGTGGAGATATAGCTCATTGACTTGAGAATTCATTTTTCATCGGACAGGTCACGACTTCAAGTCCCACTCCCCTACTTCAGTCTGTATAACTGGGTAGTATCATCAGTACTCAAACGATAAGTGTGGCTTTTTCAGGAGGGTACAGCAGATATCTGTTCCGGGTGGTTGTTCTTAAATCAAGACCCTAGTACAAAGCATTCACCTAGAAAATCTCTGACTGCTGCTGATTTAAGCAATATAGATTACCTAACTAATGTTCATGTGTAGTTCACAATGATCGATAACTTGAAACTCTCTCTCTCTCTCTCTATGGAGTCATTCTATCTTCTGATCTTTCCTGGTCGTCTCATATCTTGATGATTTCTCAAAAAAATATTCGGTCTTACCTTCTACATCAAGAAGGTAAGCTATTCTGGTATAACCCAACCCATACTCCTACAATTCGTTAACTCCCGTATTCTGCCTATTATTCTCTATTGTTCCCCCTTAGGTTTTCCAGGGCTACTGAAGAAAGACTATACCTTATTATGCAGGATGTTAAAGGTTGTCAGCAGGGTAAGCAACCTGTCACTTAACCAGCTTGTTAATATTCTGGTTGACAGGCGCTTGGACTCATGTGAAAAATGGGCTAAATCCATTCTATCTAACTCACACCACCCTCACAAATCTCCCATTGTATCCCATCAGGAAGAACCAGAAGCCTATTTAGAAAACTATATGCTCGTACTAGAAAGTACAAAATCTCAACCATATCCTCCCTACTTAGCTCGTGTTCTGTGCGATAAAGAAAGCATCAGGCGTGAAACCTATAACTTATTAAATAGTCAGTGGAACAACTGGATCTCGTCTTTCCAACTTATTTCATTTATAGGTAAAACGTTTTCTTTCTTTCTTTTCCTATTCTCTCTCTCTTTTCTGTTATGTGCAGCTTTGTTTCTTTCTTCTGCTTACGCCAGTAAATATGCTAGAACCTACTTTTCTAGTACCTTCAAACACTGTTTAATTTTGGCTTTGTCATAATGAACTGAGATTTCCTTAATCTATGTAGAATTTTATTTATTTATTGATAATGTACTAACTGGATGCAATACTGCAGTAAAATGCTGAGAATTCCATTCTGTATCACAGTTACTGTTTTGGAATAAAGCAAATTATTATTATTATTATTATTAGGGTTTAAAGTAGATACAATGGTTTACAATTTGAATATGCTGAACAAGTTTCATTTGAGTTATCCTCCTTCTGTTCATTTTTGTCTTACACTGTTTTTTGGAGGGTAACATCTTGAAATAATACAAACTTATGCAAATTGCTTTGTTGATCTATTTAACTCAGCAGAGCAAGTTACTTGTAAGATGTGCCTAAGATAAAATTACACGATGAATAAATAGCCTGTTGTCCTTAGAAAATTGAGAGTTGATCTAATCAATAAATCTAATAATTGTAATGTTGTGAGAAAATGTCTTCATTCAATCTGAGATATTAAACAGAAATAAGTAGTAACAAGAACCTGTGAAAACCGATTACTGGTGAGTAGAGTGTTATTCAGGTTAAAGATCCATTTGACTCTTTTCAGACAATCACATGTCGCATATTTCGCTTCTATTCTTTAAAATGTTTATGATACTCTACATATTACTCATACTTTCAACACTGTTACCATTTTCAACAGTTAGCTCGTAAGGGATTGATTTGTTTCAGCTTTGATCACGGATTGATATCTGCTAGAGAACAATTGAAAACCAGAGGGTAATGGACAGCTGTTTCGTCCCGGTCTGGGGCTTTTCAGAGGTACCCACCCTCCAGGGTTCGGAACCTTGACATTCCGGTCACAAGGGAGGTGTCTATAAACCATTCAGCTAATAGGACCCAATCCAATGGCCAACCACGCATGAATTCCAACCACTACCAATTCGCGCAACCATCAGTCAGTATCATCAGCTAGTATTTGCCCTCACTCTCGATCTGGTCCCAGTGACTGAACGATCTATGAGTTTGCCTTTTAGTCAGAAGGTCCTTCGTCTAAACCCCCGATGGGTACATACTGATGGACACTTCTTAGCTGGGACAAAACAGCAGTTGTTCAGTTCTCCTTGACTTTCAATAATCTCTCCAACTAATGTTGGTTCGTGACGAAATGGACACTGAAATTCATTCAAATCCCTACGGGAAATAATACCATAATCTAGATACTAATCACTATTGATATTATTAGTATTATTGCATGACCTGTCTGTCTGTCCGTTTTTCGTCATAGAACTTTGCACCAATAAGTACCAGTTCAAGTTGCCACACTCCCTCCTTGTAGCACACAAAGCAAGAGAAGAAGATAGAAGAAATGCATATTAGAGACAGTAAACAGAGGTGCGAGACAACGGAATAGTAATAACGAAGAACGATATGGTTTATATATGTCCAAACCAAGTTCACTTTTAACGGTTTGAAAAAATTTGGGCATTGGGTATATGATATTCATTATAATAGAGGTTTTTTGTATTTCTCAATGAATAAAAAACAAAACGATGTTGTTTTTACTGACATTTCGCTATTTAATGCCTCTAATAGCTTTCTCAAAGTATTATGAAACCGGAATTTACAAAATCTCAGCATATATATAACAAAGAGTTAGGGGGTGAGAAAAATATAGACTTTGTTCAACTTAAAAGGACATATTGAAAGTCAAAATAACAATGAAGATCGTTCAAACCAAATATCAAAGGTAATAATATATATCTGTTATTATATCAAAACAAAGTTTACTAACTTGATCATCGTTCGTTACTCTGGGATCATTTTTGGTTGTCAAGTTGGTGAATTGGTAAAGATAACAAAATCATGTGTAGATTGTTGGATTTTATCGGTGTGTAGAATTATGAAAGTAGTGTTTGTTTACATAGTGAACTTGCTTATCACATTTGTGTTGATTTTGCTACTTCATGATGGAAAAAACAGAATCTGACAACACCTCCCTCCCCCATGAAGTGACAAAATCAACACAAATGTGATAAGCAAGTTCACTATGTAAACAAACACTACTTTCATAATTCTACACACCGATAAAATCCAACAATCTACACATGATTTTGTTATCTTTACCAATTCACCAACTTGACAACCAAAAATGATCCCAGA